TAACTAATGTGAAAAATAGTGAATGTTGTGCATGGTCCTGGTATTCAGATAAAAAAGTAAACTCGGCTGAATGCACTTCGCGAAAAAGTAATTACTTTTACAACTGCGTGAGGAAGGACAAAGAGATTTCACTTCACCTTCGCGGAACCCAGCACCTGTCGGCCATAAAAAGCAGGAAGCCGAACGAAGCGAAATCCCAGAGACGGAGCTCGCGTTCCAATGCACCGTGTGAACCTTTACCTGTCGGTCATAAATCAAACTGGGCTGTCAAGCCGAGTGTGAAAAGGTCATTAATCTCGGGCGATAGAACCGCCGAAAACTTCGCTGGTGCCCGACGTTATTTGATGTGTGGAATAATTTGAAACAGGTGTAGTTAATGGTTGTTGGGACCCGACACAAAGAAAAAACCTATTTTTGTCTACATTAGCTTTACTCGTTTATTTTAAATAACAACAAATAAACAAAGAAAAAACAATCAAATAAACAAAAAATAAATAAAAAAAAACAAATGAACAAATATAAAATTAATTAAAATTTAAAAATAAAATTTAAAAAAAAAATTAATTTAAAAATTAAAATTTTTAAAAATTTTAATTAAAAAAATAATAATTAAACTAATAAAAAAATAAAAAAAATTAATTTAAAAAATTAAAAAATTAAACTAATTAAAAATTAATAAAAACTACTAAATTAAAAACAAAATAAATAAAAAATTCAAACTAATTATAAATTAATAAAAACTACTAAATTAAAAACAAAATAAATAAAAAATTCAAACTAATTAAAAATTGAACTAATTAAAAATAATTAAAAACAAACTAATTAAAAACAAACTAATTAAAAACAACAAACAAATTAAAAACTCATTAAAAACAAACAAATTAAAAACAAACAAAGCAATTATGTAACTAGGTCACCGGTAGTGGTTACGTCACAAGGTCACCCTCTCACCTGACCTACTGAGCTACTGACCTACTCCCCATCCCCATCCCCCTGCACCTGCGCCACCTCCCCATCCCCATCCCCCTCCGGAGTATTTTACTATATGTCGTTGTACCTCCGGTCTGCGCCCCTGACTGCACCTGGAGTATTTTACTATATCTCATTTTCCCTGCGCCTGCGCCTTGAGTATTTTCTCATATCTCGTTGTACCAGGCAGCGCCTGCTCCTGCGCCTGCGCCAGTTGGCGTAGTATTTTACTATATCTCATTGTCCCTGCGCCTCACCCTCCCAGGTGGGGAGTATTTTACTATATCTTGTTGTCCCTAGGCCTCCACCTGCGCCTCCGCCAGGTGGGAGTATTTTACTATATAACCTTTGCGCCTCCGCCTGCGTCAAAAAAAACGACCCAAAAGGGACCTAATATACTACTCGTTTTACACCTATAACTATAAAGAAAATAACTATAAAGAAAAGCGTGGGTCTCTTCTCAAATATTAGTAAAGGTATCCAATATATAGATTAAAGTGACCCAATATATAAAGTGAGCCACGCTTTTCTTTATAGTTATGTAAATAGTAGTCTATAATTTATTTTTAACCTTTTAGTGCATTATTACATAAAAGCTTGTTATTAAAATGTTTTTTTATGAATTTTTTTTATATAAGAATATTCGAGAAAGTTTAGGGAATATCACTCCCGGTTTATTTCTCTAAGCATTAGTGTGTGTAAATTACTGAAGAACAATCACTGCTGCAGTCGATTAGTTTTCTTGTTTTTGTTTGTACAAAACCACTATCCAGGTGGAAAATTTTTTTTTTTCGGATTTGGCTTCCCCTCCCCCCCTCCCTAAACGGCCTGCGTTATGCGACAACGACGTTTCTAAATGTTTGCAGTCAGTAAGTATATCCGCAGGTGTCATTTGGTTGATATTGGATATTATATCATAAAGGAAGCCAATCAGAATATTAGGTTGTTCTAATTGTTAGAACCTCTGTTTCAAAGCCTGCATACCCTTATCCAAGATAGTGTTATAGAATTCTACCTTATAATTCTGTTTAGGATCTTGTTGTGCCAAGAAATAGTTTAGTTTAAAAATCTAAATCTCTCTAGAGTTTTATAGAGTCAAAATCGGGGGCGGAACTACAGTGCCGCCAGACCCTGCAACGCGGGGGGCCCCACGATGTTTAGGGGCCCAATTCCGACCAAAAAAAAACAATGAATTTTCTATTCATAAATAATGTTTTTCGTGCACCTTGATAGTGGTTTTGTAAAAAACAAGCAGGTCTACTATAGCAGTGATTGTTCTACAGTAACTAACACACACTGTTGCGTAGAAAAATATAAAATCTACAAGTGGTGTACTTTGAAAGATAGGCAAACTTTCAAACTACTTCCATGACTTACTGCCCTTCATTAAAACACGGGTGCCCATAAATCTCATTTAAATAGCTTTGTACAATGTAAATTAAAAAGCAATTTATTCTCTTAATTATTATCTGAATAAGGCATACTAAAGAGTCCTATATCTATAAAAATGAATGTATTCAAAACCATTGCACAAATCAAGCTTACGTGTTTATATAATTTTGACCAGTTAGCTTGTTATTATCTTCCACAATTTTCGGTAAACATGAACATGTAATACAAACATTGTATTTAAAAAAAATACAAACATTTGTACCACCAGCGTTTTGCAACTACAGTGAACAGAGCACAATTTTACACGAAAACGCTGAAATCAATGTAATAATCGAATTTAAAACAAGTTAATAAAAAGTCTAGTGACAATTTAAGCGCAATTTCCTTATGTTATCCATAATTTTAAATCGAGATAAATCATATATTCAGCAACGGTGCCCAAATATTAAAACGTTTATATCAGTATTTGACTATGATTAAAACCCGCCCTCTTGTTTGTAAACATTAGCACGTGGAAAAAAACGAGCGACGCGTAGCTCGCCTCTCTCTCTCTCTCTCTCTCTCTCTCTCTCTCTTGCCGCGCGCAGTGATGCGAACGATCCCACGTCGCGACAGGCTAGCCTCCCGTATCAGTCGAAAATAAATATAAACTCCTACACGATGCTCAGTTTAAATGTTCTTAATTAATTTTTTGTGACCGAACAAAAGGATATTTTTGAAAACTTTCTTCATCAATATTGGTCTAAATTATGACAGGAATCGATTGGTAAATGTTTCAAGTCGCTAAGTGGTCTGGTTGCCGAGATATGGGCCAAAAACTGCATTTTTTTCGAGGTTTTTTGGCTTTTCCGGGAAATCCAGGAGTTCCGGGAATTTTGTTGGCCCACAATCATCCTCGGAACTTGCTTAACATATTTGCTTTTCGAACTAGTCCTCGATATTGCTTCGTTGAAGAGGAGATACGACTTAAAGCTGCGGACAAACACCCATCCAGAAATAACGAATTAATAATCGCAATTGTCAGTATGGAAATTGCGCTAAAAAAATACAAACATTTGTAAAACACGATTATTGCGGGTCCGAAATGAGTTCGGACTTATTTTTGCCTTGTTTGTTATCTCAGAGTGGTTATACATTGCAATAAAATAGATTAAAATACTCAGGTAATTGACTATTTAAAATTTAGAGAAGCAGGCTACTTATGTATATGCAGGGGCGTAGCAGGGGTTGCGGACCGCACCGGATGACACCATTAAGGGGGTGACACCAAGGCGAAAGATAGCAAAATATATAGAGAAAAACTCGAGGGGGGGGGGGGGTGCAAATCGAAAACTTGAGGGGGGGTGCAAACCGAAAATTTGAAAGTTTGTCCCTGGGAAGGGTCTCTATGCTTCTGGGGGGGGGGGGGTGACACCATTAAGTGCCGCACCGGGTGACACCCGACCTCGCTACGCCACTGTATATATATATATATATATATATATATATATATATATATATATATATATATATATATATATATATATATATATATATATATATATATATATATATATATATATATATATATATATATATATATATATATATATATATATATATATATATATATATATATATATATATATATATATATATATATATATATATATATATATATATATATATATATATATATATATATATATATATATATATATATATATATAGGGGGGGTGGCAAAATAATTTTTTTGCGGGGGAGCCTTTTTTAGCGCAATTTCCATATCGACAATTGCGATTATTAATTCGTTCTGGATGGATGTGTGTCCGCAGCTTTAAGTCGTATCTCCTCTTCAACGAAGCAATATCGAGGACTAGTTCGAAAAGCAAATATGTTAAGCAAGTTCCGAGGATGATTGTGGGCCAACAAAATTCCCGAAACTCCTGGATTTCCCGGAAAAGCCAAAAAACCTCGAAAAAATGCAGTTTTTTGGCCCATATCTCGGCAACCAGACCACTTAGCGACTTGAAACATTTACCAATCGATTCCTGTCATAATTTAGAACAACATTGCCGAAGAAAGTTTTCAAAAATATCCTATTGTTCGGTCACAAAAAATTAATTAAGGAAATTACGCTTAAATTGTCACTAGACTTTTTATTAACTTGTTTGGCTAGTTAGGCCCATTACTTATTCCTACTAGCCCGCTTATAATCGAGTGTGACGTCTTTTATGGACGACTCCGGATAGGAACAGCGTCATGGAAAATGAAATAGTTAGGGTGATAACGATATTGGAAAGTAAATGGCATAGGAACAGAAATAAGAAAACGGATGGGTTTAAGCCAGGGTTCCCAGAAAAAATGCGCAATCGGAAAACCCGTGCGTCACCGGGTAGGCCTACATGCTTCTAGAAAATCTAGTACAAATTTTCTATCCTCGACTTCTCTTTGATTATAAGTTTAATCTTTTCCATCTGCCTAAAAATAACGACAGGGAATTCCCAGTATGGTTTGCATAATGAAGTTTAAAATAAACACAGATCTAATCTAGATTCTATGTAGATCTAGTATGTTACATAGTCCCTACTAGAAATACTACTATGTAATTTGGAGGAAGTAAAAAACACAACTTACAACCAATATATTATAGATCTAGATCTAGTTCTAGATCTATAATAATAATCTAGATCTAGATTTCTAGATACCTGACTTAGTTTTTATTTATATTTTTAAATTTATGTAGTCTAGTAGTACTACTAGTCTAGATCTAGATTCTAGATCTAGATCTAGAATAATCTAGATTCTAGTTAGATCTAGTTAGGCCTGCTTAACATTAAGAATTTTATTTGTTTGATGAATTAAGAATAGAATCAAGAAGTTCAGTATGTACTAAATTTAACTAGATCTACTATAGTATGTAGGCCTATGTAGTAGTAATAGTAGTATGTACTAGTATGTAGGCCTATGTACTTCTACTTATGAGATTTCTAGATCTAGAATATCTAGATCTAGCTAGATTCTAAAATCTAATAGGCCCTAGGGGCCCCCTAGGCCTATTACAATTTAATATTTATGTTAGGCCTATAGTAATAGGCCTACAGCTAGATTTTTAGTAATAGATCTAGATCAGCTTAGATTTAAAAAAAGAATGAAAGGCGTAGAGTCCCTAGAGTGGCGTTGACTTTTTATAGAGATATCTAGATCTAGATCTAATCCTAATTTTTTAGACATGGATGCAAACAATTAAAAATAAAGGTAATCTATCGTTTTAGGTTCGTAAAATCGCCCGCGACTCTAGTAATGTGAAAAACAAGTGACTCCTTACATTTTAATAATTATTTTACATTTTGAGGAGGATTTATGTTTTGAAAAATACAAAAATGTTTCCTTGTTTCATTTATGTACCTGTTTTTAAACAATGGAATTAAAACTTTTCAGTAATAAATGAAGACTAGCGATGTTTCCAACAGATGCAACCATGCTCATTACTATAGCAGCCATCTTATTTATTTTTTTTATTGTAGACTTATAGCACAAGATTCGGGGGAAGCCACTCTAACTTACAGATGGCCACTTTTTATATAGCAAATCCTGCTCGCAAGCACTGCTGCTGTTTAAAGTTAATTTCTTGACTATATTGATATATTTTGCCATTGATTTAGGTTTATTATTCATTTATCTATAATATTTGACACAAATTTATCACAATATACTTCTATTAAAGCCTTGACAATGAGGTAACTTTTTCGTACATTATTAGCCGCGGGCAATTCTACGTACCTAAAGCGATAGATTACCAAAATAAAACATGATTATCATTAGGCCTAGGCCTAACAATTTAAATTTTAAACAAACTAGACTAGATCTAGATCTAGGATCTAGATTTAGTAATCTATTAGAAAGTACTTTGAAAGTACAAACATTAATATTCAATTAGCTATCAGCCTGACTAGTAGCGCCCTTAAGTAATTGTTAAGCCTATTCTTAATCTTAACTACTAGATCTAGTAACTCTAATCTAATAAAGTCTAATAGTAGGGCCTACCAGGGGCTGATTGAGCTTGAGTAGATCCCTGGGCAGAAAATATCTGTGCGCCCCTATATAAGATATAGATCTAATAATAGGAACAGCTTTTCCAGTTTGAATATTCAATATAGAGTTAGGATATATTTATAAATCACCGCTCTGTACTTTGTACTAGATTAAGTTAATAAAATATTAATAATATAATAATTAATAGTCAGGCTTGTTATAAATGTAAACAAAAATGTATCTAATAGGCTAATTTTCTCCATACAGGTGGTTTTATTAATATGGCAAGTTTTGACCCTAGTGAGAACATAAAAGATGCTGATTCTAAATTGATCAAATATCCAATGAAACGTTTGGACATTTCTGTTAAGAAATTTGTAAAGGTGCTTGATATTGACTTGGACAGATTGAAAAAACACAGCTTGAGTTTGGCAAGAGTAAGTATAAACTTAAAACTTATTAATTAAGTATTAGGTTAATAAATTACATAGTGAGTAAGTTTCTGAGTGTTTTAACAATTGCTGTTTCTTGGGTTATATTTTAAAATTGTAAAACCACTTAGGAAATATATATATGTATTTATACACACACATATATTTATATAAACACAGATATATACAGATACACATGTACCAATACATACGTATATATATATATATATATATATATATATATATATATATATATATATATATATATATATATATATATATATATATATATATATATATATATATATATATATATATATATATATAAATATATATGAAACTTTGGGAAGTTAATGCTTCTGAGAAAGTGTCTTCCAAAATAAATATTAAACTTCTTTAGTTCATATATAACAATGATTACCAAATTCTTTCCCATTATCTTTTGATTTTCAATGCTAGCAATAGTATAAACTTGATTAAATGATCCTGGTTACTTAGTATAAACTTGACAGCGCTGTCCGAGTTACTTGGCATATCAATAATATCCACCTGGAGTCTTGACTTAAATTATTTAGATATCACAGGTTTGAAAACTAAACTTCTCTTGCACAAAGATAAATAAAATAATTAAACATCATCACTACGTTGGATGTTGGCTAGGATTTTACGTGCCAGTGTGCATTGGCTGGCCAATGTACGAAATACGTAGCCAATTTTTAGTTCTTCAGATCTTTGCCAAGAAAGCAGGCTAATTCACACATAGGCTGGCCAATGCATGCATTAGCACACACATATATATTTAAAGAAACACATACATACTTATATACAGTTATGCAGACATAAATACATACAGGTGTATATAAACATACATTGGTTGATGATGAAAATTAAAGCAAACCTGGGCAACAAATAATAAAAAACACTTTTTTATGTTTTGTAATTATGTTTATTTATACAATAATATATGAATAAAATGTAATATTACAGTATTTGAAGGCTGAGGACTGGAGTGGTCTACATAAAGAGCAAGTGAATGTTGTACGTACAATACAACAAGTAGAAGCCAATATCAAAGAAATTGAGAAAGCACGAGAGCAGGTTTTTGTATTTAAATTTAATTTTTTAAAATTTTTTTGCCACTTAACAACATTTAGGAACATGAAAATGTTATGACTTGAGTATTCTCTACCAGTTTGTTTATTTTTGGACTGATGATTACATTTTGATGTATTAAGTGTATGTGTTAGAACAACTCTGGTATCATTCTCTCCACCTCTTAATAATGCATTTAAAAGATTGTTATAAAAGTTTATTTTATGTTTTACTTGTAAAAATATCTATTTAATTCCTGATATCATAATGATAAATCTACTACAATAGTCACTCAAATTTTAGGTAATTGATGAAGATCTTATTCAGTTTGATGTTAAAATACAAGATGTTAAGAATAAAGCTCAACTGGCAGTAAAAGAATTGATGAACTTTATTGGAATAAATACTTCAAATAAAGGTATGCTTATTCACACCCTACTCTATTACTTATAATAAGACACTGCGGTGCACTGAAAAGCACAGCATGGTGCGATGTTTACTTTTATGGTTCCAAAAGCTATAGCGATGACGGACTGACACACGCTCAGCCCGCTTATATATATATATATATATATATATATATATATACAACCTGCAAATCACCTACTAGATGTGTATACAGATCTAACCACAAAGTTAGAAACAATAAGAGCAATAAAGAACATGGCAAAGCAGCTGGCCCGGACAGCATCCCACTAGAGGCACTCAAGGCAGACCCAGCCATATCAGCAGACATACTACATCCTCTACTTAAGCAGATTTGAGAAGGAGAGATAATCCCATCTGACTGGAAACTGGGATACCTGATAAAACTGCCAAAGAAGGGAGACCTGACAAAATGCAACAACTGGAGAGGGATAATGCTTTCAGTTCCAAGTAAGGTTCTGACAAGAACTATCCTAGAGAGACTTAGAGATGCCTTTGACAAAAAGCTGAGACAAGAGCAGGCTGGTTTTCGTCAGGACAGGTCATGTACTGACCACATTGCCACGCTGCGCATCATTATCGAAAAGTCCCTTGAGTGGCAATCCCCCTTATACATGACTTTTCTCGACTTCGAAAAGGCGTTTGACAGTGTGAATAGAGATGCTATCTGGAAGTTAATGAGCCACCATGGAATACCCAAAAAATTTATATCTATTACACAGAAACTATATGAAGACTCCACCAGTCAGGTAATACACAAGGGAACGCTAACAAAACCATTCACGGTGACGACGGGAGTAAGACAGGGATGTATGCTATCGCCAATGATATTCTTGATAGTAATCGACTGGATCATGCTGAGGGCCACAAAAAACGACACAGGAATCCAGTGGAGTTTCACAAAAAGGTTGGAGGATCTTGATTTTGCCGATGACATCTGCCTACTATCTCATAAGCAGCAACACACGCAAGCCAAACTAAATCGGCTGTCTGAAGAAGATTCCAAAATTGGACTAAAAATCAATAAAAACAAAACAGAGGTCATCAGAATCAATAACAGCCAGGACCTGCCCATACAGCTAAGTGGAGAAGGTTTACGAGAAACAAACACATTCACATATCTGGGAAGCGTGATCAATAAGGACGGGGGAGCAGACGAGGACATAAAATGCCGTATCAACAAGGCTAGATGTGCCTTCAACTCGCTGCGCCCGATGTGGAGGTCCACGGCCCTGTCACTCCGGAGCAAAATTGGGATTTTCAACACGAATGTTAAGGCAGTGCTACTCTATGGCTCGGAGACCTGGAGGGTTACGAAGACAAATACTGATAGGCTACAGGCGTTCGTAAACAAATGCTTACGACATATACTCAAAGGCTACAGGACATTACCCCCCTGGATATTTCCACCCCCCCCCGGACATTCCCCCCCGTATTTACCCCCCGGAGCAATTACCCCCCCCCTGTCAATTACCCCCCTGTCAATTACCCCCCCCCCCCCGGGGAATTACCCCCCCCCCCCCTCTCAAGTTAAAATCCTAACTAGAATTTTATACCTATATACTACTTTAATCCAAACCTTAAGAAAAAGACCAAAACCTAAGCATCCACCTTAGCCTGAAACTTCACACAAAACCAAAACCAAAGCTAGACACAACCCTAACCCTAACACTAGCTCTAGCCCTAACCCTAACCCTAGCCCTAAAACATAACCCTAACCCTAACCCTAGCCCTAGCCCTAACCCTGTCCGGGGGGGGGGGGGGGGGTAATTGACAGGGGGGGTAATTACTCTGGGGGGTAATGTCGGGGCGGGGGGGGGGGGAAATATCCGGGGGGTAATTGACAGGGGGGAAATGCCCTGTTCCCATACTCAAAATAAGATGGCCAGACAAAATATCAAACAAAGACATGTGGCAAATTTTAAAACAACAGCCGATAGAGAAAGATATTAAGGCCCGTAAATGGGGATGGATCGGACACACGTTAAGAAAAGAAAAAGAAAACATCGCAAAACATGCATTGGACTGGAATCTCCAGGGGAAAAGGAGGGTGGGCCGGCCAAGGAAAACATGGAAGAGAACGGTTGAGGAGGAGGCGAAAACAGCTGGGCTCTCATGGGCACAGATTGGAGGAGCAGCCCAAAACCGAGTTTGCTGGAGATGTGTGGTTGCAGCCCTTTGCTCCCCAGGGGCCACAAAGGAGTGATGATGATGATGATGTAGTAATGCATTCAATACAAAGAGACATCCATTCTTTTAAGTGTATGTATGTTTAAATGTATATATATATATATATATATATATATATATATATATATATATATATATATATATATATATATATATATATATATATATATATATATATATATATATATATATATATATATATATATATATATATATATATATATATATATATATATATATATACTAGCGTACCCGTCCCCCGCGCGTTGCCGCGGGGATAGAAGAAAGTATGACGAAATGTATTAGAAAGATTTCACCAACGCGTTACCAATCATATGTTCTTAGATGCGTGACCGTCTTTTCTAAAAGTGAGTTATTTAAATGTAAACAATGCCTGCGCTTAAATCATAAGTATCGGGACACAGGTTTACCTACACTACCGCATGTAAACATTGAGTGTACATTAATCACTCACCGAAATAATATGTTAGAACACACTTCGGTGACCGCCCATGGGTCAGAGACGTACAGGGGCGCTCTGAGGGCCCCCACCCCCCGAATACACTACCGCATAGGTGCGGCGTACGACCCCTGGCTCCTTAAAAGTAATAGGCGCCATCGTGCCAAATAGCATCTTGTTAATAATGATGCAGATTTCATCATTCGCTAAAGTGCCACAAATGAACAGGCTTTTTTTCTTTAACACGTAAAAAGTATTTGACATGTTTTAAACATCAGTGTGACTGATGCAATATGCTAGCGTTACTAATGGTCTATTATTAGAAGCTCGATCTCAATTTCTGACTGGATTGTCTAATAGTAGAAGCTTATTGTATCATTCGCAAAGTGACGAAACTCTACAGTAGGCTCCTCATATTCAAAAAGTTATTTTTTCATCTTTCGCAAGGTGACGAAACAGTACAGAAGGATTTCCTCGCGTTACAAAGTTATTTTTAGAAGACTGTTGTAGTTTTACCGCTGAATATAGTAGTACCCCTTACTCGCTATGCAGGACGCTCGATTAACGGATGCCAAGTGCCAACATAGTCGCTCTAAAACTCTGGGCGCCAAACTGTGTATTGACGAAAGTTGTACCCTATATGGCGCCGCCCATTAGAAACTTTAGTTTTCTTTTTCGCAGAAATATTCTCGGGAGTATTCTCATCTACTTCCTAAAGTTTCATGGCACTCGGATGAACCGCATCCGAGTTTTATTTTTTATATACCGTGTATAGAGAAAAAAAATCGCTCCCCCCTGGGGGCGCCGCCCTTGCAATATTAAACAATATTTTTTTGCAGAACCCTACCATTGAGTGATCTCATCATCTCCCCAAAGTTTCATGGTACACGGATGAACGATGTGAAACCAAAATAGACTTTTATTTTTATAAACCGTATATAGAGAAAAATTGCAGCCTCCCGTGGCGCTGCCCTTGCGAAATTAAAAAAGGATTATGTTTTTTACAGAACCCTTCCCTGATCTGTTCTAATCAACTCCTCCAAAGTCCGTTGGCTATCGGATAACGGTGTCACACCAAAATCGACTTTAAAAAAAAATATACTGTATATAGAGCCTCCCGTGGCGCCGCCCTTGCGAAATTAAAAAAAGGATTTTTTTTTACAGAACCCTTCCCTGAATTGTTCTAATGAACTCCCCCAAAGTCTCATGGCTATCGGATAAAGGTGTCACACCAAAATCGACTTTTTTAAAAAAAATATACCGTATATAGAGAAAAATCGCACCCTCCCGTGTCGCCACCCTTGCGAAATTAAAAATGATTTTTTTTACAGAACCCTTCCCTAGAGTTTTATAATGAACTCCCCAAAGTTTCATGCCTATCGGATGAACCACTGCAATTCACTTTTATCATTTTTATATACCGTTTATAGAGAAAAATCGGACCCTCCCGTGGCGCCGCCCTTGCGAAGTTAAAAATTATTTTTTTACAGAACCCTTCCCTAGAGTGGTATAATGAACTCCCCAAAGTCTCATGGCTATCGGATGAACGATGCCAAACCAAAATCGACTTTGATTTTCATATACCGTATATAGAAAAAAAAATCGCGCCCTGCGCCCTGTCGGGGCGCCACCCCTGCGAATTTGTTTGTTTTTTTTCGCAGAAACCTCACCAGGAATATTCTCAACAACTTCCCAAAGTTTCACGGTGATGTGATGAGAGGTGTAGTAATGCATAAAGGACAGACACACACACACAAACATACATTGCTTTATATATATATAGATATAAATAAAATATGAGCCGCCAAGTTGTGTATCATTCCTTCCTTCCGTCATCGGTATAGTCACTTTATCTTCAAGTGGTATTCCTTGCATGGGTAGGCCAACGTTCAAAATAAAAAACCTGAAATATTGTTTTACAAATACTAGCATGAAAAGAAATGAACTTTACTTTGCACTAACTCGAAACAATTATAATCAATGTTATCTGTCAAATTATTGTTTCATTTTCAGAGTCTACAAGTTCACCAAATTATTTGCAGAGCTCAGAATATGAAACACGTGTTGAAGAGAGTTTTCAAACAGCCTCACGTTTAAACCATGAAATTTTGACTTCACAACCTCCAATTAATGAATGTTCATTATCTTATTTTGAAAATATTCCTGTTGCTGAGTTAAACAATGTTATCGTTCCTCCTAGTTCAGATGCTTCTGCATCATGGGAGCAGTTGCAAGAGGTAATTATCCAGACTTCATTCAAAAGTGTTAATATTCATTAGATATTTCAACATACTGTTTAATTAACTACTTTATGGGGGGGGGGGGGGGTGGGAGCATTTAATTTTGCAAGACAAAAATCATATACACAGATGTATAAGCAATATAATATAATAATAGCTAAGTAAACAAAAATAGTTTATTTCTATAGTTAAATTGTAGTAAGCCTATGACAATGTGATTTTTTTTTACTATCAGTATATTGTACATGAACACATGTCTATACTATATGTTTGTTTTAACAAGCAACCATTTAAGATCTCTAAAATTTGAAACATTTGTTAAAAAAAAGGAAAAACTGAGTGGTTAAAATAATTTAACGATTTTTTGTTAGATTTTTGTCTTTAAAATGATAATGCTTTAAAATTTGCTGCATTTTGTTTATAAAGCAAACTAAATTAAAAGATACTATAGTGTTCAAGGTAGATAGTTTCCTCAAATTTCCTAAAAAGAATATTCTGACTACCATTTGAAATAAAAATGAGTCCTGTAAAATGTGCCTTTGGTTTGTGACTGAAGAAATTGATAGGTATGCTTTTATACTAGTTTTAACATGTCAATAAAAAAATTACAATTTTGGTTCCACTTCTTTTGCTATCTTAAAATTCATTTCTAGAATTTTAAGGTTATTTGATTTATTCCTTCTGAAAGTCTTCATTTTTACACATTTTGGGCTTATATGATCACTAAAATAATATTATTAACATTTGTTAGTTAAATAAAAAAATTATAAAAAACACTTTAAAAATAAAACCAACTATACATTTAGAAATTATTGTAAATATTTTCACTCCCTCTGTTACATTAATTCTAGTTTTTGTTAAATATTAGTAGTTGTATACAAGTTAAAAACATGTTCTTTCTACCCAACAGAATATAATGGAGTTAAATGATTTAATACACAATTTCTCATACAAAGTTGAGGTAAGTTGTTTTATTTATTTCAAAATCACTGTGCCATTTATGAAGCAATGTATACTAAAGCTATAAGCTAAGATTGTATTAATTAAATTACAGTTGCAAAACGATGTTATCAATTCTATTGAAGACAATGTTGAGATGTCACAACAGAATATCAGAGAAGCCACCCAGAATTTGGCAAAAGTAAATATTCATTTTTAAAATAAATTTAAACTATAAAAATTATAACTTTTAATACTTTTTAGTGTTGTTATAAAGCAAAACACCATTTCTGTTTATAATAAAATTACTGCTTGGTTATAACTAAATTTTGTTTTTACATTATCAAAGTATCAACTATCGATCCAAATTACATTGACGTGACAGATGTTTTTCTCTAACCATTTTCGACGTGAAAAGCGTTAGAGATATAGTTCAGTATTTATCAAACTTGTTCAGCCCACCGCACTAAAATTCTGCCAACCCCCCTTACAAAATTAATATATAGGCCTATATTTGATGGATGAACGTTGTGACCGCAATCGACTTTTATTTTTATACACCATATATAGAGAGAAAACAAATTGCACCCTGCCGGGGCGCCACCCCTGCGAACTTGAACATGTTTTTAGCGTAGAAACCTCCCCGGGAATATTCTCAACATCTTCCCAAAGTTTCATGGCGATCGTGTGAACGGTGTCACCGCAATTCACTTTTATTATTTTTATATACCTTACTTAGAGAAAAATCGCACCCTCCCGATTAAATTTTAATTAAAATTAATTTTTTTTTACAGAACCGTTCCCCAGAATCTTCTAATCAAATCCCCAAAGTCTCATGGCTATCGGATAAACAATGTCAAACCAAAATCTACTTTTATTTATTTTTTCCCCGCAGAAACCTCCCCAGAAATATTCACAACAACTTCCCAAAGTTTCACGGCGATGTGATGAGAAGTGTAGTAATTCATAAAAGACAGATTCACACAGACACACAGACATATATATATATATATATATATATATATATATATATATATATATATATATATATATATATATATATATATATATATATATATATATATATATATATAAAATATGTACTTTTAATAGTGTCCGTCCCCCTCGAAAATTTTAGTCCGTCCGGCCCTTCCCCCCCCCCCCCCCCCCCCGAGAAAAAAGTCTGGAAGAAACACTGCTAACTACTTGGGAACCTTAAACTTATGGGCATGTTTTTTTTCGTATTCTAAAGAAATGTTAAGCGTAAGTTACTGTGTAAGAAATAGTAAGCATGTAGATCTAAAATAAAATAACATCCTATTTATATCAAAATCAACTTTTAAAAAAGTATCCGTATCATGACCAGAGTGCAAGCTACAAGTCATCTTTACTGCCTGTTGTAGGAGCTGTGGTTGGCGGTGTTGTAGCTGGCCCTGTCGGCCTTGTAGCTGGCATTAAACTTGGAAGTTTAGCGGGTGCTCTTGGTGGAGCAGTTGGTGAGAACAAAACATTCTTTAAAAACTTTTACTTACATATACAACTAGCAAATATCACGTGTTCTTGACACTGCCACTAACAAATTTTTATTTTGACTCATGATCTAAAGATTGTAACAAATGGATTTTTACATACAATCACCTGGTTAGTGCATATACATTCTTTTTGGTATTGCGAGTAGGATCTGAGAGAGCGATCTCTAAATTGAGATACATCAAGAATCGAATGCGAAGATGTTTTTAATAAAAAAAAAAAAATTTAAAAAATCATCAGAGCAACAAGCTTTTAAATGCACTGAAAATAAACTAATTTACTTTCTTTTATAAAAGCTTCTGTCGCTCGTGAGATCTTTTACATATTTTAGCGACAAAAGCTTTTATTAAAGAAAGTAAATTAGTTTTATTATCTTTTGTTTTCTCTTTTTCTATAATATTCATTTCTTAAGACTGACTACTGGTACGAAAGCCGCTCTAAAAATAAATCTTTTTCACCTACTAACCATGAATTCGATCTTTATATTTACAGGATTCGCAAGTGGTCGATATTTTAAAAAGCATCAGGAAAAAGCAAATGAACTTGAGATGAACAATCTCAGTGATAAGCGATCTCTTTCTTTCCCAGAACTAAGTCAACATACACCAGCGCAATTGACTGATAAAGAAAAATATAATAGTGATGAATATGCAAAATCTTCAGTCCCTCTTTCTAAATCTAAAACGGAGGACAATATTGATGTTTTATCAAATGTAACATCTTCGTTTCGCAGATTCTTTTCTCTCACAGATGAATAAAAAAAAGTTTTTATTTAGAAAAATGTCAGATCTTCTTCTTAAATACTGTCATTCCAAATTATCAAAAACTAAAAAATGAATATAATAGCCTATTATAAAAACCAATAATATACATTAAAAAGAAGACATTTTTTCAGGAGTCCTTTTGTTGGGGTCTTTTTTACTGGCCTATTTTGATATGGTTTTGTCGGTAGCCATTTTATAATTTATATATATATATATATATATATATATATATATATATATATATATATATCAGGGGTCTCCAAACTACGGCCCGCGGGCCGGATGCGGCCCGCGAAGTTCTCTCATCCGGCCCGCGGAGATCTTTTTGTCCAAGGAAAAAATCGTTTGTTGGTGATGGCTGAGGAACTTTGCTCAGAAAAATCAAAGACATGCCTGGAAGAAACTGGCCCCCGAACTGAAATTTGATAGTTAATGCAACCCTCGGACTGAAAAGTTTTGAGACCCCTGATATATATTACTGTCAAAGCCCGAAGTGCGTCCAAAGCCTGAAGAGCTTAGCACTAAAAGAGCGTATTTCGTACATTGGCCGGCCAATTCGCACACTGGCCAAAGTCCGAAGACCTTTAACTTGACAGCGTATCTTCTACATTGGCCGGCTAATGCGCGCACTTGCCGGGATATCCTATATAGATTAAGTTGTGATCACGTTTTCATTATTCTGGGTGCGGTTTCATTGTGAGCAACGTATTGTTTGTATTCTATATGCAATGCGACATGAACCAAAAGGGTCGTCAGACCAAGTGAACTCGGGATATAGTTATGATTTTTAATCCATTTTAAATACTTAAACTTTTTAAAATAGAATAGAATCTCATAGAAAAAAGAATTGCGCACCAAGCGAACGCCAAAACAAAATATGCATAATAGTGCGGAATATTATTAGTACTTTATAAATTTACAAGCGGTTTTTGAGAAATCGGAAATAGCGTAAATTACTACTTCCGGTCAACGGAAATTACTCAAAATTTGATAGAAAATAGAGGATTAGATCTTTTACTTACATGTGACATTTCATTTATCTATCTGCTGAAATAGTACTCAAGTTATAGGCTTTTGAAAAAATTCAATGTAAAAAAGTACCACTTCCGGTTATCGGAAATCGCTCAAAAGTTGATCAGGATCTACGATTTAGATAAAATGCTTATATATGAAATTTCATCAACCTAGCTATAACGGTACTCAAGTTATCGTGTTTACACACACACACACACAGACATACGGACAAGATTGCAAAATTATGTTTTCCGTATCAATGAGGTGTAAAAATTTCGATTATTTTTTTTTTTTGCACGATTACAAGACTTTCTCCATACTTCGTATATACGAGAAAGTAAAAAGCACATTTTTATTCCATGTCAACAACATTACGGAAGGATTTTCGTCAACTCTCTGTGTGAAAAATCGTTCATCAAGGAATCCAACAATTGCCATACGAAGCCTTGTTTAAGTTTAAATGCAAAACAAAAGTGGGACTTAGCACTTCAAATCTACCAAGAGAGGCTCTCAATAATTTAGTTAATGAGGAAGATCTAAAGAACATTGAACAAGAAATGGAGGTTGCCATAAACACAACGACATCCTCGGCTAACACATATGCTGCCTTGGCGGAACGTCCAGACTAGTTGCGTGACAATAATATGGCCTATTGATCATGTGCAGTTTGTGAAATATATTGTAGAGTAGCCCATTCTTGTGGATCCTGTGGCAACTATGTCCGCGCAATATGCGGAATAGCCAATGAGGCAGACGAAGGTTATGAAGGGAACATTACTTGCAGATTATGTCACAATAAACAAGAAATCATGGACAACATGTCAGCAGTGTTATGCTGAGTGAGTGGTTTGGGTTGTTTGAACCGATACCATTTTAATTTCCACTACCGTGTGGAGGTGTTGTACCCACAGGCATGCATCATAACATTTGTTCATCAAGACGACATAGGCGACGACTAATCAATAAGATGAAAGCTGGCTTCTTGTTCTTATCTTTATTCTCATACTCAACTCACGTACTCCCTTTCACTAAGGCCAAGAAAATTATACTACCACACACACAGTACCCAACAACCAGTCTCTACACCATCATTCCATGCGTTCAACATACCTTTCGCACCAACATTCACTCGCGCCGATCTATTCTGGGAACATGCATCATAACAAGCAGCATCTCATACTAGCTTGCAAACTCAGGTTGCCAAGACGCTAAAAAAATCAAATACAAATTTTAAACAATCTAAGTGGAACATAAAGTTCGCATCCTTATACCAAATGTTGACAGAGGTCGCGGTGATCCCCGAAGCGTCATTGCAGTTGTCATGAGCGTCGAGGGTGCTTTCTACAAGCTAGGAACAGTGAGTTTTCAATTCTTAACGAAAACCTGCTCTCATTATCGTCCGTTGACACTGAGGAAAAATCACTACTAACCATCGCATCTTCACAATCACCGACCCGCGACCAAGGCTACATTTGCTGCAATTGCACAACCAAATGCATAAAAAATCGCTGCAAGTGTAAAAATAACAAGCCACTATGTAATCCTAAATGCTATAAACGTTCAACTTGTTGTAACAAGTGATAATATTGATTGAGACTATAGTACAATAAAATAATTTGAATGTTTTTGTCATTTACTTTAATATATATATATATATATATATATATATATATATATATATATATATATATATATATATATATATATATATATATATATATATATATATATATATATATATATATATATATATATATATATATATATATATATATATATATTGAACATATAATGATAAAAAGAATCTAAGAATCTACCATAACGGAGCAGTCATTCTAAATGTATTTGATTCCGTTATGTGTCATGCTAACAACATTTTTGAAAACAAATCATAGTGGCAAGCCGATACAAGCCCTTACTTCAAAAAACCGTTATTCCCCTACATTTTGATATACTTACAAAAAAGTAAAGTTAAACTTATTAATCAAAATTATCAGAATAGAACAATGATTTCAGCTGCCATTTGTAGAAGGTACTTTATGTACTAGTTTAAGCTTAGTTTTATTTCTTATTTTGTCACTGGGTATTTTCCAACCACGACGTACTTACAGTGGGTGTCAAAATTATTTTTTAAAACGGTCCTAGAGCTTTTTTGAAAGTTGCTATGTCAAGAACTCACAATTCTAAGATAGAGGGCCTAAACTTGTTTATATAGAGGTGCCCTGTCAAAACGGCCCGGGACTAATTGGCTTCCGTCAAATGGGATCCCGTCTTATTGACTCGCGTCGCGACATATAGGCTCCCGACAAATGGACTCCCGACATATTGGCTCCCGACGGATAGGCTCAGGACATATTGGCTACCGACAAAGCGGCTCTCAACATATTGGTCCCGACATAAGGACTCCCGACAAATGGGCTCACGGCATATTGGCTCCTAACAATTGGGCTATCGACATATTGGCTCCCGACGGATAGGCTCAGGACATATTGGCTACCGACAAAGCGGCTCTCGACATATTGGTCCCGACATAAGGGCTCCCGACAAATGGACTCCCGACAAATGGGCTCACGACATATTGGCTCCTAACAATTGGGCTATCGACATATTGGCTTCCGACAAAATGACTCAGGACATGTGGCTCCAGACTAATGAATGACATGACCACTACTGGCATAAAAGTAACCAATGTGTACTACCTCCAATACCAATATAACCTCTTTTAAATGCCTGAATGAAATTGTTTTTCATAAACCAACATCAATTCACAAACAAATCGAGCCCTTAACAGCTAAATTCCACCAATTCTAAAGTTTTAATGTTTAATTTACAACAGTAAAGATCTGTTGCTTAAAAGCCATAGATACTATCTCTTATAATAGATAAACTATTATAAAAATAAGGCTTGCCGAACTAGAGATGCATACTTTGTATTACATAAGAGTGTAGGATACGCTAACTCGAAAGAATATTGATGAAAGGGTCCATCTGGCAGGTGTCATATTCAATAAGACCGTTTTGCCGGGAGACTTAGTCTCTACAGAAACCGTATTGTCAATGGTCCTTAAGTCGAGAGCCAAATTGACAGGAGCCTATTTGTCGTGAGTCGTAATGACGGGGCCGCTTTGTGGAGAAACTAAATGGCGGGAGCCTATTTGACGGGAGTCGTAATGAGGAAGGTCGTTTAATCGAGAAACTAAATGACGGGAGCCAATAATGTCGACAGACTAAATGACGGGAGCCTATTTGTCTGGAACCTACATGACGGGGCTCTTATGTCGGGGCCGATTTGTCATTGGTCGTTTTAACGCCGCACGGTTTAGGTGCCATTGGCCGTTTTGACGCCACGCAGTATATTATATCTCAAATAGTTAAAAAAAAAGTTATGACGTTTTAAAAGTATATCAAAATGTAGGGGAGAAACGCTTTTTAGCGCAATTTCCATTCTGGAGAATTGCGTTTATTAACCCGTCATTTCTGGATGGATGGATGGATGTGTGTTCGCAGCTTTAAGTCGTATCTCATCCTCAACGAAGCAATATCGAGGACTAGTTCCAAAGCAATTATGTTAAGCAAGTTACGAGGATGATAGTGGGCCAAAAAAAACTCCGGAATTCCTTCCTGGATTTCCCAGAAAAGCCACACAAAAAAAAAAACTTTTAAAAAATGCAGTTTTTGGCCCATATCTCGGCAACCAGACCACTTAGCGACTTGAAACATTTACCAATCGGTTCCTGCCATAATTTAGAACAATGTTGCCGAAGAAAGTTTTCAAAAATATTCTTTCGTTCGGTCACAAAAAAAATGTTTAAACTTACATTATACATAATACACTACAGTACTATATATCAATATAGTTATATGACTAAAAACCATTGCGCGCCTACTGAACGTGATCGCGCAGCCATGGCAGAGTTTCTTCCAGGCATCTCTTCGGGGGGGCTTTCCCCCGAAAAAATTTTACCGCCCCCCCCCCCCCCCCGAACGAAATGAAATTTATATAATTTATATAGAAAATATATACTTTTAACAGTGTCCGCCCCCCCCCCCCGAAGAAAGTTAACCGCCCCCCCCCCCCGAAGATTTCAAGTGCCCCCCCGGAGAAAAAAGTCTGGAAGA